AGCTGTCATTCCCATAAGCATCCAAACAAAAATCCATGGAACAGCTTATAGACAATGACCGATCTTTTGTTAATTAACAAAAGCTATTCCTGGAACTTTTATAGACTTGAGTGTGTGCGTATACTTTAAAATTCATGTAGATTTCAGGAAACAAAACACAGTCAGTGTTTGCTGGCTGGAAGAGATGAATCAAAATTAATGGCGAAATGCTATTTTCACCCCCATCCCCCAAGAAAATCTTTCTGAGTTGAAAACTTAAAAGTAAAAAACATTTTTATAGCAGCTAGCAATGTCTGTTTAAGGCTGACAATTTTTTATGCATGAGTAGTATTACATATCACATGCAACACAGTTTTGTGTGTTTTGCAGTATAATAGCATAATCATATGGCTTAAAAAATCAGACTCAATCTATCCCTGCTTTTGGTATAAATCCAAATTATAATTACAGTAGATGTAATATTTTTTAAAAGAATGTTGTTGCTTATTTTCTTAACATAGTGATTTTGTTGTTTTCATATTGCAAAACTGAAACTAGACTAGGATAAACACAGAGGGAAAAAATTAAGGCTTAAACCAAGTCTAATGTGTAACTCCAACTCACCATCATATAGCCCAAGAGGCAAGATATGCAATCCTGCATTCCTTATGCACTCGTAATTCCTCTTGGCTTCAGTGGAAGTTTTGTTTGGGAAAGAATCATATAATCAGAAGCTACAATTTCATTAATTGCATGCCACAGGCAGGCAGAGTGAGGTAAGAAGAATAAACCAAACTGCTTGGAAAGAAGGTGGAATCCTCAGCCCCACCTGCACCTCCGTGGACCACGGAGCCTACGCAGCAAATTTGCGGATCCTGGTGCTTTTGGTGCCCACCCGTTTCCAGCCCTTCCTTCTCCTACGACGTGCCTGTTGTGCAAAGGGGACCGCTGTGCAGATACTCCACTCAAGGCCTGGCCCTCCAGTCCCTGTCACTCCTCTCCGTACCACGAACCTTCCTCAGCCTCTTGGTAGCACCTAGAATTTCACCAGATACACATCGCTGTTTAAGAATTTTGGTGTTATTCTTTCCAGGCACTGACAAAATGAAGGTTATGGAGCTATTAATACAGATTGCTTTGACATATTACGTATTTCATTGTATGTCCTTTGGGCAATTTAGGAAGCATCATCTCAGAACCATGTGGATGGACTTGACATTTAGAATGTTAGTGTACACATAACTTTTCAATACAAAATAAACAGGAATTATTGCACTGTGCATGTGGCACAGATAGTTTTACAGTACTCTACAAGGCTTGTTTATGTATGGAAGAAGAAACAGTATGAAACAAGAACTTCCTATATTATATTTAGAAGGCCATTTATTTGCTAAAACGTGACCAAAAAAAAAATCACACACACTTGCCAAGAACTTCTTTTTTCCAAACATAAAAACAACAAACCTGATTTAAAAAGAAATCATTGCCAGGCTGAGAATTGGTAGGCCCTGTTAGAGCCAGGGGTGAATCTAGTGCGCCAACTCAGCTAAAAACTGATATGAAGAAGGGTATAGCAGATAATTCTTCAACTACAGAAACCTTGTTACATTCCAACATAATAAATTGAAAACTCTGGTTCACTTCTGCTTATGTAATTGAAGATAACTCAATTTCCATAATACTGTAACTGAAGATTAACTCATAGCTTTGCTCACAACACCCATACAAGAGTAAGTCTTATTGTTAGCAAGTTTTGTTTCATTTTGAAAGTATAAAAACTCTAATGGTGCTAAGATACCTTAGCAAGAAAAATCTGACTAGCATGTTAACAATAGAGAAATCAGTAACAGCTATAAAGATATACTCAGTAAAATACAGAAACTTGTTTTTTTCCAGTAACTTTAAAAGATCCTTAGTGGTTTTAGTCTCCAGAATTATGCTGGATTATTTTTTGCATAAGTAAAGTAGAAACTGACTCTCGAGACCAAAAAAGAAAAAAAAAAAAAAACTTTGTAACTGCACTACAAGCTTGAAATTTACAAAGAAGCTTGAAGTAGATACAAACACAAAAGCAAAGGAGAAAGGGGGACAGTCAGGAATAAAAAAAATGAAGGTATAAAGCTGAGGGAAGCTAAGGGATAAACGATAACGAAATAAATGGAAGAAAAAATAACAGAAAAAATAAATAATAACAAGTAGAATGAAAAGTGAGACTAAAAGAAAACATTGTTGAAATTATGGTGGGAGGAACTGATTAATATTACGTTTATTATTGTGATTCCAAAACACATTTCGAAATTGGATGAAATACAAATTGTGTGCATGTTTTGCCAAGGACATTCTTAGCAATTACAAACAAAGTCAAGAAAGCTGTAATTCAATCAGTGAAGCATTACTTAGAACAGCTTAAAAATGGCCCATTTGAGCCATCTTTCGAGTTCTGTGGCTAAGGATTCGAGAGAGCGAGTGCTCCGGAGCAGCACAGGCCTGCACTCTACGTGCTGCATGGGGACACTTTCAGTAATGGGGCCATTAGGTAAAACAAAAAGGCGTTTTTTCCTCTTAAATGTATTTTCTGAGTTTTTCTTCATACACATAATGTATGTGTGTAGGTATGAGGGGGCTGCCACCAGCACTCCTACAGCCACGCTCCGTGCTGGGAGAGCGTTTCCACAGGGCACGTCCCGGGACGCCTCCGCGGCGCCCAGCCCTTTAGCCCGCCGCCGCATGGAGCAGGGCGGCCCG